ACACCACTATTGTTACGACTATACTGCAATGCCTGTGCTTGTAACTCCAAACTAACAGCACTGTGGGTACCACTGATCTATTCTGTCTCTACATGTGACTCCAGACCCACAACACTTGGGTACCACTACATCTCACTCCAGAACAACAGCACCATAGTTTCTCCTGACTCGCTCTGTCACTAAATATGACTCCAGACCAACAGCACTGTGGTTACCATTGATCTGCTCTGTCTTTACATGTGATTCCACCAGCTGCACTGTTGTTATCACAGTCTGTGCTATCTCCTCATATAACTCTGAACACACAGTACTGTGTTTACGGCTGATGTGGTCTGTCTCTACATATGACTCCCGACCTATAGCACTGTGGTTATCGCTGACCTGCTCAGTACCTACATGTGACACCTGGCCAACAGCACTGTGTTTAACCCTGATCTGCTCTGTCTCTGTATGTGATTCCAGAACCACAGCATTCTGGTTTTCAGTGACCTGCCCTGTTTCAAAGTGTGACTCCATGGCAACAGCATTGTGGTTCATTTTGACCTGTTCTTTCCTACATGCGACTCCAGAGCCACAGCACTGTAATTGCCACTAACCTGCTCTGCCCCTACATGTAACTCCTGGCTAACTGCACTGTGCTTAGTACTGACCTGCGCTGTCTCTACATGTAACTCCAGCCCTACAGCACTTTGATTTCCACTGACCAACTCTGTTTCTAACAGTAACTCCAGGTCCGCACCACTGTGATAACCATTGGCATGCTCTGTGTCTACATGTGACTCCAGACCCACAGTACTATGGATACCACTGACCTGCTGTGTCTATGCATGTGACTCCAGCCCCACAGTACTGAGATTTCAATCAACCTACTTGTGACTCCTGACTCATAGCACTTTGGTTACTACTGGCCTGCTCTGACTCTGCATATGATTCTAGACCCACAGCAGACTGACTACCATTGACCTGCTCTGCGTCTACATATGACTCCCGACCCACGGTACTATGGTTACCACTAACCTGCTCTGTCTTACATGTGCATCTAGACCCTTAGCACTGTGATTACCATTGCCTTGCGCTATCTCTACATGTGTATCCGGACCTACAGCTCTGTGTTACCACTGACCTTCTGTGACTATACATGTGCAGCTTGACACATAGCATTGTGACTACCACTGAATTACTCTGTCTTAATATGTGTATTCAAACCTACACCACTGTTGTTAACACTGACTTGTTCTGCCACTACATGAGACTCCAAATCCACTGCACTTTGCTGACCACTACCCTGCTCAATCTCAACGTGCGACTCCACCCGCTGCACTGTTGTTCCTACTCACCTGCGCTATCTCTGAAAGTAATTCCAGACAAAAGCATTGTGGTTTCCCCTGACATACTCCGTCTCTAGACATAATTCCAGAGGCACAGCCCTGTGGATACCATTCACCTGTTTTGTCTTTCCATATGACCCCACTCACTGCACTGTTTTTACAATTGACTTGTGCTGTCTGCATATAACTCCAGACCCACAACACTGCGGTTACCCCGACCTGCTCTGTCTCTTCACATGACTCCAGACCTGCAGCACTGCTGTTTACCACAGACCTGCTCTGTATCTACATATGATTCCTGGCTAACGGCACTGTGCTTACCCCCGTTTTGCTTTTTCTCTGTATGTGATTCCAGATTCACAGCTCTGTAGTAATCAATGACTTGCTCTGTGTATTCATGTAACTCCAGACCCACAGCAATGTGGTAAACACTGACCTTCTCTCACTCTACGTATGATACCAGACCCAAGCGCTGTGCTCACCACTGACATGCTCTCTCTTTCCATGCAACTCCTGGCCAAATGAACTGTGGTTATTACTGACCTGCATTGTCTATACGTGTGACTCCAGTCTCACAGCACTGTGGTTACCACTGACCTGTTTTGTTTCCATATGTGACTCCAGATACACAGCACTCTAGTTCCCACTGACCAGCTCTGTCAATATATGTGATTCCAACCCCACAGCACTATGGTTAAGACTGATGTGCTCTGTCTCTACATGTGCCTCCAGACCCACAGCACTGTTGTTACCATCTACCTGACCTGGGTCTACTTCTGACTCTGGTGCCACAGCACTGTGTTTACCATTGACCTAATCTGTCGATACATGTGACTCCATGGTAACAGCAATGTGGTTCATATTGTCATGCTCTTTCCTACATATGAATAGAGAGGCACAGCACTATGGGTACCACTGACCTGCTCTGCCCCTACATGTGACTCCAGACCCACGGCACTAATCTTGACCTTGGGCTGGTCTGCTCCTAATTGTGACACCAGACTCACTTCACTGTCATTGTCACTGATCTGCAAATGGAATGCTGGCCTTTATTTCAAATGGAATTGTGCATCTGCCTTCACCATGCTCTCAGGCAGCACATTCCATATTTCTACCACTTTCTGTGTGAAAAAAAAAACCCTCAGATCACTTCTAAACCAACTATTCCTCACATTAAACTAATGCACTCTGATCTTGGACGCGTCTCCCATGGGGAAAAGATTTTCATAATCTGTTCTGTCCATGCCTCCCATAATTTCCCATTTTTTTTTCTTATTAGACATTCCGAAATGCATCAACTCACACTTATTGGGATTAAATTCAATCCACCATTGCTCTGCCCAATTTAAAGGATGAGCATTATCAGACTGTCACCTGAGACTATCTTCCTCACTATCAACATCAACAAATTTTGAGCCAATTGCAAACTTACTAATTATCCCTTTTACTTTTGTCATCCAAGTTGTGAATGTATAGGCCATAATCAACAAATAGGCGCTCATTATTTAAAAATAAGGAAGTGTCCATTTAAAACAGAGATGAAGAAACATTCTTTTACTCTCAGAAGGTTTGAATTTTTGGAATTCCCTTCCTCAAAAGGCAGTGGATGCAAACACTTTAAATATTGTTTTCAGATAGATGTAGACAGATTCTTGATGATTGAGGGGTGAAAGATAATCAAGGGATATATAGGAAAGCAGAGCTAAGGATAAAATTTAAACAGCCATGATCTTATTGAATAAAGACCGAAAGAAATCTGGATGCTGTAAATCAGAAGCCAAAACAGAAATTGCTCAAAAAGCTCAGCAGGTCTGGCAGCATTTGTGGACAGAAATCAGAGCTTTCCAGTTGGGTCGAGTGACCCTTCCTCAGATCTGAGATTCCCTTCCCCAGTTCTGAGGAAAGATCAATTGACCCAAAAGGGTAACACTGATTTCTCTCCAAAGTCCTGCTGAGTTTTCCTAGCAATTTTCAGTCATTCATGTTCTTGTTGAGTTGGGGGCTAGCAAGCTTCAAGGGCCGAGTAGTCTACTCTTCATCCTATTTCGTGTATTCAGGTGACTTCATGGAAAACACCTGGCATCCTCTCCTACAGACATGTGTTGTTCATAACATGGAATTTTTTAATGAGTTTTCTGCCTACTCAATGGTTCGTTCACCTCCTGATGCAAGCCCAGTCTTGCAGATGTTTCCCTCCGTGTTTGAACAATGTGAATATGAATTGAGGTGACTGGTGGTCTCTTGGTATTTCACCAGCAAGCAGCATAAATTTTGCCTAAAGTTTTAGCAAAGATTTGTAGCTTGGATTGTGAGTGAGGTTGTTGGCTTGCTTTCGTTCATTTCGTTGAACAAAAACAAACCAGCTCAGCAAGTAAATTTTGTCTCCTACTCCATTCCAGTGTGGCTCCCAATTTCCTTTCGATTCTTTGAGCTCAGAGTGTGAGGCAATGGAGATGCCTAAACTGTCTTCTGAGTGGAACACTCTCCCTTCCCCAAGGAAAGGGTGAAGAATGAACCAGCGACTTTGGTTGCAGGCTGCGGTTTGTATGTGTTTGAGCACAGAATCACAGACTCTAGGAGAGGCCCTTCAGCCCATCGATCTACACCGTGAAATACTACCTGAAATCTACACCAACCCAACATTCGAAAATTTTGCCATTACCTTGAATGTTAGAACACTTCAAATGGCTCATGCAAGGTTTTTTCAAAGGTTGTGAGGTTTCCTGCCTCAGCTACCTCCCAGGCAGTGCATTCCAAACACCCATCACCCCTGGTTTGGAAGTTTTAGCCTCAACATCCCTCTAAACCTTTTGCCTTTCGATTTCAAATTGTGCCCACCCTTGTTATTGAAATTTGGACTGAGGGGAACAGCTGCTTTCTGCTCACTCTGCCTGTCATAAACTGATATACATGAAACAGGTCTTCCTGCTATCTTTTTTGCTCTAAAGAAAACAATCTGAGCATATCCAGGCTCTCTCCGTAACTAAACTGCTCCATAGAACAAAGCACAGCACAGGAATAGACCCTTCTGCCACTATGTCTGTGCCGATCAATATACCATTCTAAACTAATCCCGTCTGCATTCGTATGGTCCAGATCCCTCTATGCTCTGCCTTTCCATGCATCTATCTAAATCCCTCTTAACCTTTGCTGTCATATCCACTTCTACCACCTTCCCTGACAATCTGTTCCAGACACCTACCACCCTCTCTGTAAAAAACTGTCCACACACATTTCCTTTAATTTTTTTCCGCTCAGCTTAAAAGTATGCCCACTGCTATTTAAAATTTCCACCTTAAGGAGAAAAACTCTGGATAGATAACCTAGCCAAACATCTCTTTGTTTTATTTACTTCCATCAGTTCGACTCTCAGCTCTAGCGCAAACAATCAAAATTTGTTCAACTGCTCTTTGAAGCTAATCATCTCCAATCCAGGCAACATCCTTTCAAACCTCTTATGCAACCTCTCTGAAGCCTCCACATCCTTCCTAAGGTGTGGCAACCAGAAATGGAAATAATCTCTAGTTGTGGCTTCACCAAATGCCAACACAGCCGCTAAGCTGCTGCAATGAGAAGGCCGTCATTGCATGTTGCCCATTTTCTGACAACTCCCTTCCTCCCTATAAATATATTAAGGTATTGATCTGAAAGAAATGAGACATAGGCAATCAATTCTTGTAATGTCACCCAGTTTTATTCACGTGGCTGAGAAAGCAATGGGTCAGGGCTCATTGGATTGACAACATCAAATGTAGCCTGAATTGCTGAGATGACAGAACTGTCCAGTCGGAAACTCAGATGTCTTCCAGTGTGCATGTTGCCTTTTTTTCTTCAATTTCAGAAATTTATGCAACAAGCTTGGAAGTGCAGACATGCCCCCTTGACCCTCATTTAAACATGTTTATCACATGGTACCTTACTGCAGTAAATTCCTTCTAATATACATGAAAAGAGTGGAGCTAAGAAGTTCATTGATGTTCACAATCATACACAATAGGACATCCACCTGTCAACTCCCTGAAATAAACAGAGCCAGAACTATGCAGATTGTGACCTCCCCATTCTGACTGGAATTTATTGGAGTCATAACAGTGCAGATTGCTTGAAGTGTTCTAATAATTCCTTGTGAAGACCAGAACTGTGTGCAATGCTCCACGTCTGACATCATATTGATACGGGTTCTGAGGAAGGGACATGGGTCCTGAAATGTTAACTCTGATTTTTCTTCACAGATGGTGCCAGACCTGCCAAGCTTTTCCAGCAACTTCTGTTTTTGCTCCTAATATTGATACAGCATATTGAGAATTGAGAAATGTGCTCCGAACTGTGAGCTATTTGGGGAGAGGGATCGTGAGCTTCTCGAGCAGCTTGCATTCAGCCAGTGACAATATATCAGTAACCTTGGTGGGCTTAAAAGTGGATAGATCCCCATGTCCATAACGCAGTAAATTCTTATCTCAGGAAATTGCTGGAGTTCAGAACGTGCTACCTGGGAGAGTGATGGAGGCAGGTGCTGTAGGAGGGTTCAAAAGAGAGCTGGATATAAATTTGAAAGGGATGAATCAATATGGGGTAGGAGATAGTGCTAGAGAATGGGACTAGCTGGGCAGCACTTTTGGGAGCCAGAAGAGACACGATGGGTAGAATGGCCTCCTCCTGAACTGTATAAATTCTCTAATTCTTATATGAAGAGCAGCACACCAAGTCTTGTTCAAAGCAGGATGGTTTCAAGACTGGTTTTAAAGGAGGAGATAGATGGGGTTAGTATCGGAGAGGAGGTACCCAATCTTAGAGATCAGGCATCTTGAGGCACGACCAACAATACAAACCTCATTAATGCAGCATTGAACACAGAAGGCAGACTTTGAGAAGTTCACATTTCACGAAGGTTTTCAACTTGCAGCCATTTGCAGAGACCAGTCCAGAAGACAGAGGAGCAGAAGGAACCCATTAAGCCAATCAACTCTGCTCTGCCATTCAATGAGATCATGACTGATCCTCAATTCCACTTTCCTACCTTTTCTGGATAATTCATCGATTCCTGCCCAGATTGAAAATCTGTTAATCATACCCATGAACATACTGAGTGACCCATCCTTGACAGCTCTCTATAGAAAAGAATTCCAATGGTTCTTTTTTCTCCAAGAGAAGACATTCATCCTGAATGCTGTCTTAAATAGGTAACCTATTATTGTGAAATGATGCCCTCTGGTCCAAAACTCACTCACAATGGCATGCAATCTCTCCTCTTCTACCTTGTCAATTCCTCGAATAATCTTTCATGTTTTAGTAATCTGACCTCTCATTGTGGTAAACTCCCAGAGTACAGTCACAACCTACTCAGCCTCTCCTCCTAAGATAGCTAGTTCCAGTTATGGAGAGACTAAGTGAATTTCTCTGGACTGCCTGAAATGCCAGACTGTCTTTCATCAGATATGGGGACCACGGCCATTTATAGTATTCCAGCTGTGCTCTGACTAGAGTCTTGTGCAGTCTTAGCAAAACTTTCTGATTTTTATACTCCACTTCCTTTACAATTAGAGTCTGGCACTCGCAGGAGTGGATTTTTAAAAACAAATCTGGTGGAGAATCAACCTGTTCAGAGATGTTATTACACACTTCTTAAACAGTTCTTCTTAACTCACAGATAGGGACCTCCTTAATAAAAATTGTATTTAACAGGTTTAGATTTAACAAATGAATTAGCACCAAAAACCGGTTGAAGAAGTGCATCTCAAACCTCCACTACTCTAAGTTTAGAAGTGGTTTCTTCAGTGCTTTAGGTACAGGAGTTGGAAAGTCATGTTGAGATTGTACAGGACATTGGTGAGGCTTCTTCTGGAATACTGTATCCAGTTCTGATTGCCCAGTTATAGGAAGAACATTATTAAGCTGGAGAGGGGTCAGGAGAAATTTACCAGAATTTTGCTGGGAATGGAAGTATTGAGTTATACACAAAGGCTGGATAGGCTGAGACTTTTTTCACTGGAGCGTACAAGGTTGAGAGATGACCTGACAGAAGTTTATAAAATAATGAGAGGTACTGATTCATTAATGGGAGTTCTCTTTTCCGTAGAATGGGGGATTTCAATAGTAGGCTGCACAAAGATTTGTAGCTCGGGTTGTGGGTAAGGTTGTTGACTTGCTTGCAGAGCTGGCTTGTTTCTGTTCAGACATTTCATCACCATGCTAGGTGACATCAACAGTGAGGCCTCCAATGAAGCAATGTTGTTCTACTCGGCTTGGAATTTATACGGTCTGGTTCATTGTGCCGAGTGGTGTTATTTACAGTTTTGATCTGCATGGGTTTGTATATGGGGTCCAATTCTACATGTTTGTTGATAGCATTATGGGGTTGAAAGCCATGCCTCTAGGAATTCCCACGCATGTCTATGTTTGGCTTGGACTACTATGGTTATGTTGTCCCAGTTAAACTGATGGCCTACATAGTCTGACTGTACTGGTATTAAGGCAAGTTCATTGTGTCGGTTTGCTGCTAGCTGATGTTCAGGTATTCTGATGGCTAGTTTTCTTCCTGTCTGCCTGATGTAATGTTTGTGGCTATCGTTGCATGGTATTTTATAAAGCACGTTGGTTCTGCATGTTGTGGGAATGGCGTCTTTAATCCTTGTGAGTGTTTGTAATAGAGTGGCTGTGGGCTACCATGATTCCTAGTGGTCTTAGGAGTCTTGTTGTCAGTTCTGATATGTTCTTGATGTAGGGCAGTGTGGCTGTGTGGCTGTGTGTTCGGACGTACTGTGTCCTCCTGGTGCTGTCTGTTTAGTAGGCATCTGCGGATGGCGTTGCAGGGGTATCCGTTCATTGTAAAGATTTTGTAAAGGTGCTCTTCCTCTTTCCTGCGTAGTTCTGGAGTGTTGCAGTGTGTCGTGGCCCACTTAAATAGTGTCCTAATGCAACTTTGTTTGTGGATGTTTGGCTGGTTGCTGTGGAAGTTGAGGATTTGATCAGTGTGGGCTGCTTTTCTGTATACTGAGGTTTGGAACTCCCCATTGGTCATAACCTCAATTTTAACATCCAGAAATGGAAGTTGATTGTTGTTTTCTTCTTCTCTTGTGAATTTTATCCTTGTGAATACACGGTTGATGAGGTAGTGGGTCTGTTCTAATTTGTTGCATTTAATAACGACAAATGAGGCAGAAGTCGAGTAGTTTAAGTATGTTGTCACTGCTGATGGAGCTGCTGGTCTGCATTGCTGCTTCCTCTAGTAATGTGGCCACCGTTTCTTTGATCGAAATCCCACTAGCAAATGTGACTAAAGCTGTGAGGTCAACGTATAAACAAAGGATAAATAATTTTAGAAAGTGGATAAGGGCATTGTAAATAGATCAAACATACGGCACACTTAGAGGGACGATTATTTTAGAGGAGTTCAAAAATTCACTTTCTGAAGTAGTGAGAAGTCATGTAGGAGAGCAGAAATTTAAGACTGCAAAATTAGCAGCAGAAATGGTTTGGTTTCCGACATCGATTTCAATCCATGAGGGATAAAAATTGGGGGAAAAAAGAGAAATCCTCAGGTCGTAAGGGAAAAGGAGATCTCAGTGAAGATAACAAGCATAGCTTACCCCAGAGTAAAAATGAAATGCATGAGGGGAAAGAGAAGTAAAAAAGCACAGGTCTAGTAGTTGTCATTACTGATGGAGCTGCTGGTCTACATGGCTACTTCCTCTAGTAATGTTGCCAGTGTTTTGTTGGCTAGTGGGATGTCGATTGATGTGAATAAAGCTGTGATGTCACACTGGCCAAAGAAACACTGGCCACTTTATTAGAGGAAGCAGCAATGCAAACCAGCAGCTCCATCAGCAGTGGCAACATACTGAAACTACTAGACTTGTGCCTCACCACACACTTCGTCTTTAATGGTCAAATATACAAACAGATAAATGGCACACGATAGGGTCACCCATCTCAGGAATCATTGCAGAAGCAGTCATGCAAAGACTAGAACACACCATCCTCCCCCACACTCGACCTAAACTGTGGATCCAGTAAGTAGACGACACGTTTGTCAATATTAAACGTAACAAATTAGAAGAGACCCACCAACTCATCAACAACGTATTCACGGGGACTAAATTCACAAGAGAAGACGACAACAATCAACGTCTGTTTCTGGACGTCAGACTTGAGCGTATGACTAACAGGGATTTCTAAACCTCAGTATACAGAAAAGCAACCCACACAACCACTAGCACACTGGCCACACTGCCATACATCAAGAACATATCAGAACTAACACCAAGGCTCCCAAGACCACTAGCAATCATGGCAGCCCACAAGCCTACAGCCACTCTACAACAAAAACTTACAAGGTTTAAAGACTTCATTCCCACAACATGCAGAACCAACGTGATTACAAAATACCATGCAACGACTGCCACAAACATTACATCAGACAGACAGGTAGGAAACTAGCCATCAGAATCCATGAACATTAATTAGCAGCAAAATTGCATGACAAACTCTCCTTAATATCTGTACACTCTGACAATGAAGGCCATCAGTTTAGCTGGGACAAGGTAACCATACTAGCCCAAGCCAACCATAGACACACACTGGAATTCCTTGAGGCATGGTTCTCCACCCATACCTCAATCAACAAACACAGAATTGGACCCCCTATACAAACCCATGCAGATCAAAACTGGAAATGACACTACTCACCATAATGGACCAAACAGTATAAATTCCAAGCGGAGTAGAATAACACTGCTTCAGCGGAGCCTCCACTGATGATGGTACCTAGCATGGTGACGAAACGTCTGAATGAGAACAAGCCAGCTCAGCGAGCAAGTCAACAACCTCACCCACAACGCAAGTTACAGATCTTTGCCAAAACTTTGAACTTTGTTTATCCTTTCAAACTCAATGTACGTTTGACCAGGTTCCTTCCTTAGATTCCTAAACTGTTTTCTGTAGGCTTCTGGTACGAGATCATATGCACTTTAATGGCATTCTTCACCTCAATATACTCCCCAGATACCTCCTCTGAAAAAGTGATGCAAATACCTCACCGGCTCTACATGCCAACTTTGTTTTAACCAACAATACCCAGATGGTAACAGACCACTCCATTTGTTTAGCCACTTTCCCAACTGAAATGAAAAAGGCTTCTATATTCTACTCGTTGAACGTAGGCATTGTTTGCACTTATTTAAACAAATCCCCATCAGACTTTTGGCTACTACAATAGACAGGGGTTTCACATTTGGTCCTTAATGGCTCAATGCAGATTGACCTCGGATAACTGTAGCTCATCATGTTTCATATGCACTTCAGGTTTAACAGGGTGACTATTACCCCATGCTCATGGTTGTTGGCATCCCTGGTATGTATCTCTACCCATTTCTCAGTTTTCTACACGACGCCTAACCTCTGTTATCGTCCTTCCTGTAAAGTTGCATGAAGCTCAAGCCAATACCTAAGTTCCAGTCAAAAATTCTAATTCCTACTCATTGATACAAGCCACACAACACCATCCCCACTTCTCTCCGCCTTCAAAACTGGTCAACATTTCAGCAAGAGTGTTCACCATTTTTGCCACCCCTTTGAACTCACATTCATCTCTAGCACCAAATCCTCTTCATTGTTGAGACTTTGAACATGGTGTCTCTGGCTTTGTCGACTGCGCAAAGCCCTCATCTGTGCTCGTCCTGACTCCACATTCCTATACTGAATCTTGCTTCACCTCTCGTCTTATTCACAAACCTGGGTTAGACACAGCCCATAGAATCATCTCTGTTCTCACTGCTCTCCACTGGTCCTGGTACGCACCTCAGTTTAGACATCTTCATTTTCTTTATTTGAATTTGCTCCATGATTTCACCTCCCCAGTTGATTCCACTTTCCCCTCGATATGTCCCCGCCGTTCTTTCTTTTGCTTGAAACCTTGTATCCAATTACCAGTTCAACGTGAAGTTGTTTCTGCCCTTGTCCATATCCATGCTTTTAACCATCACAATGTCAGAGCTACAGATGCTCGAATACTGAATATAGGGACAAAGTTTTGGCAAAGATCTGGAGCTCAGGTTGTGGATGAAGTTGTTGACTTGCTTGCTGAGCTGGCTTGTTTTCGTTCAGATGTTTCGTCACCATGCTAGGCGATATCATCACTGGAGCCTCCAATGAAGTGATGCTATTCTACTCTGCTTGGAATTTACTTTGTTTGGTCCGTTATGTTGAGTAATGTCATTTCTGGCTTTGATCTGTACAGGTTTGTATATGGGGTCCAATTCTACATGTTTATTGATTGAAGTACGGGTGAAGTATGAAGTATTCTCTCCTTCATATCAGTACATTCAGACAATGAAGGCCATCAATTTAACAGGGACAAAGTAACCATAGTAGCCCAAGCCAAACACAGACATGCACGGGAATTCCTAGGGGCATGGTTCTCCACCCATACTTCAATCAACAAACATAGAATGATGACCATGAAACCATTGCCGATTGTCAGGAAAAAACCCATCTGGTTCAGTAATGCCTTTTAGGGAAGGAAATCTGCCATCCTTAGCTGGTCTGGCCTAGATGTGACTCTAGACCCACTGCACTGTGGTTGACTCTTAACTGCCCTTTGGGCAATTGTGGATGGGCAATAAATGCCCACATCCCATGAATGAATAAAAAAAAGTGACAAGCAGAGCCTGCAGGAGACTCATGAATCACAGCTATGAGGAGAGTCCAAGAGATCCAGAGGAGTAAAGATGCAAAAAGTCCATCATTTACTATTTGCCATCTCAACCAATTTCATCCATCCATGCACAATATTAATGGTTTACTGCATACGGTACCGATTAAAGCAATAGGGCTACGAAACTAAGGTTTTTGTGGATTTTGCGTGTGAACTAGGCTTCATGCTACAAATCCTGAGCTGCTGCACTAATTTGATTTTTATGCCATGATTCAGAGAAGTTTCAAAGGCTCTGAAATTTCCCTTCACTTCACTTCTTCGAAGCATTCAACAATAACAGGGAGTGTTTAGAATTTTCACAATGGCAACATAGACTGGGAGGGAGCTGTTACCGTGAAAACAGGAAGGAGGCGTGGAGTTATTAAGTGTATAATAGAGACCTTGAGGCAGCTGGATCTCCTCTTTAGCCTCAGGTTCTGTGCATCACTGCACAACATGATCTACACCAGTCAAAACCAGAGTCCTGAGGACTAGTTGAGAGGACAGATTGGTCACCAGTTGGGCTTGTTTTCTGATGCTGCCTCAGGGCGCTTTCATCTTGGAATGAGGTAGATACAAGTTGAGGTTTTTTGGAGGGTTATCAGTTGAATAGTTCCTGACCCAAGAGTTTCTAAAGCATCAAATCAGAGAAAACAGTAACTGGAATAGGCCATTTGACTTTGCGGCCATTCAATGTAACCATGGCTAATCATTCTTTGCCTGTTTTCTCTCATACCCTTTGACCCCTTTCAGCCTCATGTCTGCATCACCTTCTTGAAATCATCCAATGTTTCCATCTCCATCACTTTCTTTGGCAAATAATTCCACAGTCTCATCACTCTCTGGGTGAAGACATTTCTCCTCATCTCTGTCCTAAATGATCTATCCCTTATACTTAGACTGTGTCATTTGTTTTGGACACTGATGTCATTGAGAAAATCCTTCCTGTGTTTACCCTGTCTAGTCCTGCTAGAATATTGATTTGTTTCCATGAGATTCTGCCCCTCATTCTTCTAAACTCCACTAAGTTGAATCCTAAGCAATCCAGTCTTCATACATCAGTCTTGCCATCCCAGCTAATCTTTGCTTTGTATACATTTTTGCAATTCCACCTGACTTTAACCCTGTACAAGTCAGAGAACCCATTGCGTAAAACTTGATTTGACACAGCATTTTGTTTTTCTTTTTCCTTTCCGTAGAGTTTAGTTACTGAGCAACTTCACAGGAGGCTGTCAATGTACTCTTCATATAAGGATATTCAAAATTAAACTGGACCAAAGATCTAAGAGTCTAGGAAAAAAGTCAGAAAGAAGCATGAAGCCTTTTAATCCTGACAGAGGCACAAATCCCAGGAATGATCACGCATGTGTTTACCTGCTCACATACACTCAGCTCCTTTAACATTTATCACTTCCTTTTATTGTTTCGGTGACTCCTGCCCTGTATATTTCTCCCAACCCGTGTCATTCATTTGACATATCTGACCTTCATTAGCTGGGCCCACCATTTATTGCCCGTCCATTGATTCCCCATAGTGAAGGTGATTGTGAGGTGCCTTCTTGAGCTGCTATAGTCCACATTACTGCTTTCTTGACCATAGCCTTTGATCCCTATAAGGCCTATATCTAACTCCTTCTCAAAAACATTAGATGTTTTGGTCTCACCTATTTTCTATGGCACATAATTCCACAGGCTCCCACCCACTGGCTGAAGAAATTTCTCATCTCAGTCCTACCACATAACCTCAGACTGTTTCCTCTTGCTCTAGAGACTTCCCAGTCATTGGCAGCATCCTTTCTGCATTTACCCTGTCTAGGCCTCTTCAAATTTTATGGGTTACTATGTGATCCTCCCCCTCATTCTTCTACACTCCAGTTAATCTTGTCCGAGCAGATCCAGTTTGTCTTCATCTATCAGTCCTGCCATCCCAGGAATCAGTTTGGTAACATTCCCTGCACTCCTTCCGCAGCTGGCACATCCTTCCTCAGATAAGCCATCCCAAACGGCACACACCATATTCCAGGTGTGATATCACACTGTACAATAGCAGGAAAACCTCCTTTCTCCTGTACTCGAAGCCTGTTGCTTTGAAGACCAACATACCATTTACTTTCTTCACCACCTACAGCACCTGCAATGCTTACCTCCAATGATCGGTATGCAAAGACACCCAGGTCTCATTGCATCTCCCCCTCTTCCCAATCTATCATCATTCAGATCATAATTTATCTTGTTTTTACTCCCAAAGGTGATAACCTCACATTTATCCACTTTATACTGCATCTGCCATGCATTTTCCCACTCACTCAGCTTGCCCAAATCATATTGAAGCATTCTGCACGCTCTTCACAATTCACACTCTCACCCAGAGATAGTAAGAACTGCAGATGCTGGAGTCAAAGATAACACAGTGTGGAGCTAGAGGAAGACAGCGGGCCACGCAGCGTCACAGGAGCAGGAAAGTTGACGTTTTGGGTCAGGACCCTTCTTCAGAAATTGGGGGTGGGGGGAGTGAGATGGGGATGGGAAAGGGAGCTCAGAAATAAATAGAGAGGAAGGGTAGGGCTGGGGTAGGTAGGTGGAATGGTTATAGGTGAGTGCAGGTAGGGAGCGGTGGGGATTGGTCAGTGAGGTGGGAGGAGCAGATCGGACAGGTTGT